TTTTTAGATGCTATTGTGAAAGGTGTGGTTTCCCTAATTTCTCTTTCAGTCTGTTTGTTGTTTGTATACAGGTATGCCCTTGACTTTTGAATGCTAATTTTCTATCCAACTACAATACTGAATTTGGTTATTAAATCAATAAGCCTTTTGGTGAAGTTTTGGGGTCTTCTATGTAGAGTATCATGTCATCTGTGAATTATGACAATTTCACTTCTTTCCTATCCTTACTCCCTTTATTTCTCTCTCATTAATTGCTCTAGCTAACATTTCCAGAACTATATTGAATAGGAGTGGTGACAGTGGACATCCTTGTCTTGTTCCTGATTTTAAAGTGAAAGATTTCAATTTTTGACCATTTAGTATGATGTTAGCCATTGGTTTGTCATAGATGGCTTTGATCAGATTGAGGTAAAGACATCTATTCCTATTTTCTGTAGGGTTTTTAAAATCAGGAATGAGTATTAGACTTTCTAGAAGGCATTTTCTGCATTGATGGAGATGATCATGTGACTTTTGTCTTTGATTCTATTGACATGGTATATTACATTAATTGATTTGCATATATTGAACCATCCCTGCATTCCTAGGATGAATCCCACTTGGTCATGGTGTATAATCTTTTTAATGATTTGTTGTATTCTGTTTGCTAGTATTTTATTGAGAATTTTTGCATCTATATTCATTAGGAAGATTGGCCTGTAGTTCTTTTTTTTTTTTTGGCTGGGTCTTTGTCTGATTTTGATATCAGGATAATACTTGCCTCCAGGAATGAGGTGGGGAGAATTCCTTTCCTTTCAATTTCATTACAGAGTTTGAGAAGAATTGGTGTTAAATCTTCTCTAAATTCCTTGTAGAATTCAGCTGTGAATCCGTCAGGACCTGGGCTTTTCTTCATTGGCAAGTGTTTTATTATATTCTTAATTTTGCTGGCTGATATTGAGTCATTCAGGATTTTTTTATCTTCTTCATTCAGCTTTGGTAATTCATATGTATCTAGAAATCTGTCCATTTCCTCTGTGTTTTCCATCCTTGTGAAGCTAATTCTTAAAAATAGCTTTTTGGATGTTCTGAAAGAAATCAGCCTAAGAATCCAATGTTCTCAAGTACATATTCTTCCCACCACCAACCATAGAAACCAAGTAAGACCCAGGAACAATTTGAGTAAGTGCAGTACTTGGATGTATCTGAATAGACCTGAAGTCCTGAGGAGACCTGCGGGCCTCAGGTAGAGGATCAGCTGTGGCCTGGGGAGGGAACACAACCTTATCAGTGGAGAACAAAGCCCTGGATATAAAGCCAATGAGAGAAAACAAAGAGAGATGCAAGCAAACCCAGTGTGCCAAGGACCACAGCAGTCCTGCAGAGAAAGGCAGACTGCAATGTGAGAGCTGCCCAGGGTACTGGATCAGTGTACGGAAACCTTCCATAGAGCACACAGACTGCAGGAGACAAGCTGAGGCAGAAAGATTACAAGTTGCAGTCCCATCTGGGCAAATTCGTGAAACCCTGTCTTCAATAGGTAAATAAATAGGGGCTGGAGATGTAGCTCAGTGGAATGTGAAAGCCCTATGTTCAATCCCCAGTACGCCAAAAAGAAGTCTCGGGGTGCTGTGGATATACCTCAGTGGTAGAGCACCCCTGGGTTTGATCCCCAGTACTAAAAAGAAAAGTGGGAAGGAGAATGGAGGTAAGGACAAGAGGAGAAGAGGAAGGGAGAAGGGAAAGTAGAAGGAAGAAGCCGCTACCCCTGCCCTGCCCTTAAGCCTCAGAAAAGAGAAGAGCTGGGGACAGGGCTGGAGATAGCACAGACATGAGTCGTTGGGTTTCAGCAGTGACCTCAGCTGCTTTGGGAGAAGCAGGTAACCTGGGCATCTTAAGCAGAGACTCTTGTCATCGTCTTAGTGTTTGTCTTTGCACCTCACTCCTCCATTCCCAGGAAGGGCGAGTGGCTAGGTTTCCCTACAGCCCTTCTTCCCAGATGCCTGGACAGCCGACAACCACTGAGGCAGGACATGGGGCCGCAGGCCCAGGTGTCTCTGTTGCCACACTCATCTTCGGTGGCAACCAGCAACTCCAGAGCACCACTCTGCCCACGGGGCCTCCCACCCACAAATCCTCCACCTGCTCCTTGACAAGAAGGAAGAGAATCACATGGCTGCCTTGTTCCTGCAGAGTTCCTGGTCCACCTACAGCTGAACCGGAGGCCTCTGTTAGTAGAAGGAGATGCCGTGTCTCCACCTCACCCCATGCAGGGCTCAGGGCTGTCACCTTGGCGGTCCCCGGCTCCTTGGTGTGGCCTTTTCTCTCCAGCCGCCCTTCTCCCTGGCCTCCTGTCTCAGCCAAGTTCAACTTTCAGGTCTGATTCAGACAGTGTGATCCTTGGGTGTGTCTGGGGGGTGCCAAAGGTGAAGTGGCAGTGGCTAGGGACCCAAAAATGTCCCGGTCTTCGCACCCACCTGTAGGCTCAGATGTTGTGAGGGCTGCACAAATAACTTGTCAAAGATGACACTTTTCCACCCTGACAGATCTGTCCTTTCAAGTATGTGCTGAGGATTTTCAGTTGACCCAAAAATGTTAAAAACCTATAATCTCAGCGCTCGAGGAGGCTGAGGCAGGAAAATCACAAGTTCTAGCCCAGCCTGGGCAATTTAACAATTTAAGGAGACCCTGTCTCAAAACAAATAATAAAGGGCCAGGGTGTATATCAGCGGGAAGGCCCTGGGCTCAATCCTCACTACAAAAAAAAAAAAAAGAAAAGAAAAGAAAAGAAAAAAAGATGCAATATTATCAGGCCTACTGGAAGGAGTAGCTGCTTCCAAAAAGATGATTCGATTCTCCTGATGTGGACTTCATGGTTCTGGAGCTGGCCTGGCCAGCCGTGTCACCCAGGGCTTGTATGTGTCCACAGCTGTCATTATCCCTTCAATTTGAGATTAACCCCGGTGCGGATAAAGTTTCTTTAAGAACCGTATGGTATCTTTGTCCTTAAAAGACATTTACCTTCAGAGTCTTTTGTACTCAGAAGCCTTAATATCAAAATTATACAAATTATTTCTAAATAACTGGCATGTTAGTTAGTTTGTTGGCATATGGAAGAAGTGAGACTACATATTTATGAAAAGATTTTAGGCATTTTTCAAATTCTATCCAGACACATGCAATGGCTTAACTATTAAACGGTTACTGTCGATGTGACCCCTGAAGCTTATGCTTACTGCTTGGTGCGGTGACTGTGATAATATAATTTCTGACAGCTCATGTTTTCTTAGGAGTGTTTCTTATCTATTCGGATAAATCTTTCTTCCCCGAGCCCATTTGGATCTATTTAAGCAGCAATATATGTGATAAATATCCTGAAGATATGTTTATTGGGCAGAAAACTTTCATATAAGAAATTTGTCAAGGAACCTCAAGGAATGAATTTTTAACACTTCCAAAATACAATTTAATGGCTAATTAGTCAGAGTTTTTATTTGAATTATTCCCTTCTGATCGGTAATATATACCCAAGAAAATATCTGTTTTAGGGCCAAGGATATAGCTCAGCAGTGCAGTGCCTGCCTGGTAAACACAAGGTCCTGAGTTCAATTTCTGGTACCAAAAAAGAGAGAGAGAGAGAAAAAATATCTGTTTTAAAGAATTTCCTGAATAATCAAAACAATCTATAATTTCTGTTTCACTACCTTACTTTATAGTAGAGCTAATAGTTGGCTTTTCAACCTGCAATAAATACCTTTCTCTCCCTTCTCTCCTGATTGTGCCATAATTCACACCAGGGAAGCACAAGTTTAACTCTATATGACAGATATTTATTTAAAATGCCTTCTCCTGAATATATTAACATTTTTTCTTTCTACTTGTTAAAGTAGCCTTGAGTTCAGCACTAAAATCAGATTCATAATTCTGTTATGATAATAACCCCATGCTGGAGCAGGATATATCATTTCAGAGGAAGTTAGTGAGCTACAGCACAATAATTGTATGTTTACTGCATTGAGCAGTTTAAGTGAGAAGAATGTATGGACACGTGTGGTGTCTTTGATCTCTCTGACCATGTCCGAGTACAAACCCAGAAGTCATATCCAAGCCAACTAGCAACAATCCATTCCATGGGTGTTCAATAATCACTTTTCTTGCTTTTCTGGGAAAAGAAAACCCCCCACTCCTCGAGAGTCTTCACTGTAGCATCATGGGCACAGGAGTTGTAATTTAAACATCCCTACTGCGACAAGGCTTCCATGGGAAGGTGCTCTGAAAGAAAGACGAGGAGAGGGCGGGTCACCACATTCTGGAAACCAAGAGTCAGGTGACATCGGCAAGAGTGGCAATCCAATTAGGACAAACAGAAATGAGTTTTATTTTCCTATCAGGATAGAAGTTTGATAATGCATCTCTTCCTGGAGAGAATATAGATGGAGTAAAGTCAGCCAGCCAAGAGATTTTTCAAGGTGGAAAATATTTTACAGATCAGGAGAATTTTGTAAACGAGAGACACGAGCCCAGAGAGGTCTGGGGCTCACACAGCTCACAGGTACTTGGCGCACATTGAAACCCAGTGATCTGAGCCACCCACCCCCACTTGTTTTCAGTCATACCACCTGAGAGACCAAGCCTGATAAATAATTAAGAGGAATCTCTGGATGTAAAATCCCAAGGTAGTTTTTGTCTGCATTCTGTAGCGATTTGCTACTTCCTTATATAACATGACTTTCGTGTTCCAAGCTCCCAACATAAAGAAAAAAATATCTATACTTCACATGATATTGTATAACGATATATATTATTGACTCTTTATCTGTAGTAGGACTAGGACTGGAAACTCCAGCTTCCCATATTCTAGATCTTGGCCCAGGGTAATTTTTCCCACACTGTAAAGAACATGCTCTGCAGTCTTGGATCTAGAGCTGGCACTTTACTCATAGGTAAGGGAAACTTCCTGGCAGAGCTGGCTCTGGTGGCTACCAGTCAGCCTGGTAGCCATCACGCAGAAAATAAGAGAACACCGTGCTTTAGAACTCTGAAAGAGCATTATCTGAATACTTTAAAGCAGGGAATTCTCAGTACATATAACTATGATAAAACCATTCTTTCTGGGCGATTCCAATGGTCATCTGAAGAAGTCTGAACTCACATTTCAGTAAGTGTCAAACCTTTGAATAATTTTGAATTGTTGCAAATCTCTGCTCTTCAAATTATCCAGAAGAGTGCATTGTTGTCCCTTTCTGGTCCTCTGCAGCGGAAGCTTCCTTTTTGTAGCTACATTCAATTACACGTCTGAATAGGGGTTAAGTAGAATTTCTGAGGTCCTCAGAAATAAGCATCATATTTGCAAAGTTCAGTGTTAGTTTTAAAATTGTACTTCTTTACAAATAAAAGAAAAATCATCAGATTATTTTGTATGGCTTCCCCTTTAGTTCAATTGATGAATAGTTCATCAGAAAAAAAAATCTTCAATATTCAGTTTTGTTAAGGGCACTGACATGGACAGAGCGGAGCAACTTTAAACATAGTAAGAAACATGGCCAGTATCTTTTGGGTACAAAGAATAAAACAGCACCTGCCTCGCTTTCTTTGTCCTCAGAGGTTAATGCCACCAGATAAGCACTGTTGACACTCTTAGATATCTAAACCCAGGCTTAGTTACATACATGGACATTTCAGTTTGTACTCAGAGTTCTGTTGCCGTATCTTCTCTTGTAAGCCCATAGTTAACCTTACCATCAAATAGTTCCTTTGTTAATGAATGTCTATGAATTCATTTATTCACTCGTCCACCCACCCACTCACTTAAGAATGATCATATTGTGGTGTCACAGGAGCTTAGAACTGGGAACCGATCAGTGCAATATCTACTAGTGGGTCAGGACTGTCATGGGTAAGATCATGCCTGAGCTCTTTATTTGAGACATTAATAGAAAAGAAACATTTGAAAGAACACTTAAGGGAGGGTAATCGTCCTGTCACCCGAATCGCTTTGGAGGGCATCCTTTGTGAACATGAGCTGGAAGTGGGGGGAGCTAAAGGAGCTGCTAGGAGACGTGTAGGAGGAGTGAGGTAATTAACCACAAGTGTCTCAACCATGACATCGGCCTGAGAGGAAGTCAGAGACTCTGGCAAAGGAACAAATTCTCTCCTTCTTCTGGACCCAATATTTTCTTCAAATGCAGATTTCTCTTCAAAGCCATAAAAAGTCATTCCTACATGGATCAAAATTAAATGTCACTCTTTTCCCCAAACTTTTCACCCTTAGCATGACTGGCAAAGAAAAAAATTCCCATGATGAAAGTAGACAAAATGGGGCCCAACAGACCCACCAACACACAGCTCTGCACTGTGCAGATTTCTTATTTAATCACCACCAGACTTTGGACTGACACGTTCATTTAATTAACATTTCCTCTTCTCAGATTTGATTTTGTTCTGTTTTGCTCTTAAAAATACTACAGAACTTTTAATATAAGACTCTGACTACCACTTTGTGATCTTAAGAGAACAACCCGAAATGTACAATTGCTGAGTGCTGTGTGATTGGCACGGATGTGGAGAAATCCTTGCTAAGTAACTGGATACCCCAAGTGTCTTGAGTGTTTTAATAGCCAATATTATTGTCAGCTTGTGGCTTATTTATGCCATTAATTATGACTAGAGAAATTATTTTCCAATCTGGATTATACCACAAATTGCACTTGAGATTTCACTGTGAATAATGAAATAGTGGTTGCTCAATAAATGTTTGGCTTCAACTAGTTTTGCATCTGTCTTCCTTTATCCACACTGTTGTTTCCTCTGCCTGGGAGGTCTCTCCCCAAATGCTGCTCCCCTCTCCCCCCGGACCGTTGACTCATGCATCAAGACACCGTCAGTTATTACCTCCCACATCCCCTTCTCTCACTATCCCTTCCCCTCCACCCCACACGGGGGAGCTTTCTGTCTCTCTTCTGCATCGTCATAGAAACCGCGGTGTTTTCCAGTCATGGCGTGACTATGCAGCTACCCAGAGGCCCTATAATCTTGTGAGCTTTCTGAGGACAAGAATCGTTCCTTATATCTTTGAATTTCTAAGACCAGCATACTAAACACGCAATACACATGTTCTGAATGGATGGATGGGTGTCAAAATGAAATTTGACATGTAAATCAGTCTATCTGGCTATCAGTCTCATATGATTTTCAAAGGGAGAGAGAGACAGAGAAAGAGAGAGAGAGAGGGAAGGAAGAATTTAAGAAACTTAACGTAAGACATAAGAATTCGTTCCTTTGCCGGAGTCTCTGACGTCCTCTCAGGCCGATGTCAGGGTTGAGACACCTGTGGTTAGGGTGTCCTTTGTGTCCTGTTCCTTGTGTTCCCCAAGTGTCGGTGCCGTGCCTGGTTATGACTGCGCGAGGAGCATCCCTCAGCCGCGTTTGTGTCTCTCGCCGTTGCCCATCACCCGGTCCCGTTTGCTTTGCTCTGAGCAGCAAAGAGACTTCGACTGATTATGAGTCAATCACATGTATAAAATATATCCTCTTTAAGGAAGAAGAGCTTTTAAACATCTGAAAAGAAGAGAAACTGTGATATTGAGGTCTTGTGGTATACCAGACATGTTCATATCCTACTGGCCATTCTTATAAATACAAAAATTTCATCAGTTTGCCACAATCTGAAATTATTAACAATAGAAATAATTTTATTTAGAAGGTAACTGTGGTAGTGGAGAAAGTGATGACTTCATTTACATAGAGACCAAGGTTTACCTTCCAACTCTACTGCTCAATGTGAATCAGGCAATTTCCTCAGCCTCTGTTTCCTTGCCTAGAAATTCTCTACCTATAAAGTGGAAGCAAGGTAAGACTTTGTCATTTTGCGCTAGGAACGTAAACAACACAAACCCTGCTTGGCACAGTGTCTAGCACATGCGAAGTATTCCTTGCCTTCTTCCCAAGGGCATAGTGATAAAGAAGTTTCGAAAACAGATTTCTCGTTGATTACCTCAGCCTGCTCCACACATTCCTCACCCAACCCCACAATCACATTCAGATAAAAGTGAGTTAAAATAAGCACCAGGGTTCACCAGGGTAACCCTCAGGCTGTATTCTGTCACCCTCCTTTTTCTCTTGACACATTTTATATTATTATATATCATTTATCAGGCTGTTTATTTTAATATGCCTCCAAACCAGATCATAAATCCCTTACAAGAAGGTCATTGCTTTTATTTCTGATTCTGAGTGCCTTGAAATGACCTGATAGTGATAGTCAATAAATGATTGATTAATTCATTTACTCACTCATTGAACTGTCAATTAAAACCATCCTGGAAGGGAAAAGCAAAGGCAGAAAGTTGGCTAGATACAGAATGAGAAGCAGAGTCCTGGCGAGGGTGTTTATAAGCACCTCAAGATTGCCGGGTGTTCCTGTATTATCCACTGCCAATTCTCTTCCCTGTCCCTCAGTTACTGCTCAGCAGCATTGGCATTCTAGTGGGGAAGCAAAACAGGACTTCAGACAGGTCCTACCAATGGTCCAACTCTGGGAATCATTTCTTCAGCAGAGGCCCAAAGCCAGAGTGGTTAGTTAAAAATTCACAGTTCCCCGACAGACCGCTGCCTGATTGCCGGCATTACACCGTGCTGTCGCAGCCAGCCTGAGGATGTCTTCCTAGAGGAGCAAGTGAGAAATGAAACAAGGAGACACAGAAAATGTTTATTGAAATGCAAATGAATCCTTTGTGCGTGTTCTTTAGTTCCTTTGAAATAGAAAAGCTGTAAGGAGACAGCAGCATTTGTGTCGCAGCCTCCTCCCCTCCTTGCATATATCTACGATGTCATAGGGCACCAATAATATGAAAATATGTAAAAGTTTTGGAGAGGAAATACTTATTTTGTAAATGCATACTTACCACTAAAAATAGCAATACAAATAGTAAAAGTTCTCAGAAGTAGATTAACATTGGCTCCAAAGCATTCTCCTTCCCCATGGGACTGTGGACAGCAGGGGACACAGGTGGAGGCTGCCCGCTCCCGGCAGGCTCTGGAAGCCGATGGCTGGGTGCTTGCTGAGCTCTGCAGGCCTGGCCTGCCATCTGACCTTGGAGCGACTGCTCCACATGGGTTTCCGCTCAGCCAGCCTCTTCTCGGAGAACAAGGACATTCCTCATCTGCGTCCCTGGTAAACAGCAGTTGCTGGGAGAGCTGGAGCTGGCACAGCCCTCTGTATTCAGCATATAAGAAAGTTCTCTTGAAACGGAAAACACTTTTAGTTCTTTTAAGCATCACAGGCTTTGCTGGCCGCCATGCTGAACGGAGCTGGGAGGGGCCATGCCTGCATTTTGAGATCCACAGCACAGAGCCCTCAGCCGATGGCTGTTAGCTAAGAGAGCCTTGCGCAGGTGCATTTCTGAAAAGTTGGACCAGAGTTTTACATTTTTCCCTGATACTCATCAAATGCTGTCTTTTTGTACTCATGGATTTTATGGAACAACCTCTGAATAGTGATTCCCTACGGAGTCTTTTCTTCTAGGGACGAGGACAGCAGGATTTCCTGTAGACTAAGCCATCCTTCGCCTGGACTTGGAAGTGAGCATCCCTTTTACGTTATTTTTTAATGCGCCCTCTGGAAAATTCTAAATTGCATCAGTCTTAAGTGGCAGTTTCATAACCTCCATTTGCATTTTGAGCCTTTGACACAGTTGCAATTTAGTGGCTTATAAATTGTAACCTCATTTAGAACCACAGTCAGAAATAATCTTTCTCCCTTGTCCTGAAGAAAGGTAATCTCTTGGATATTGTTTTAACCCGAAGGTAAAAAGACAAGAGTATGGAAATCTGGCCCCCTCACTCCCCCCACCCAACACATCTTCCTTTTGTTTTCTCCTGGTAGCGAAAGAAGTTTACCTATGGCTGAGATTCTGAAGCGGCAATTGACGCTTTCTTTACAAAATCACGTCTCCTCTCTACCACCACATGACAAATAGAATCTGTGCCTCCTGGCACTGGCGAACAATGGGGGAAATGGATATTAGAAAAATCTCATTTATCTTCCGCTTTATTTCTTGATAGGGGTCCTTGTCACTCGGACTATTGTGTGACCAGCTTGGGAAAGGGCATCTCATTAGTTTTTCTTATCAAGATAGCAGGGTCCTTTTAAACAGCAAGGCACTTACATTTTGGATTCAATTAGGAAAGTGCAGTGTGCATGTGTGTGTGTGTGTGTGTGTGTGTGCGTGATCTTTGTACCTCAGAGACTCTGCTTAGAGACAGAGCATGGCCACTGGATCCTTCCGGCGTGGCTTTCACCACAGTTGCACAGCGCGCACACCCCACTGTGTGAAGCCGCGAGGCGGGCAGCTGAGAGTCACCCTCCCCGGCCCCAGGTCTTAGTGTGAGGCAGAATGAGTCTGGGTACGCAGCCAGTGGTCTGTGGCATGGGAGATATGTGTAGGTTTCCTTTCTGAAGTGGTTTTTTCTCAAAGCCAAACCAAAGCCTTCTGTGGCTTTGCCAGGGTCCAGAGTTCCCTGGCTGCCTCAGCTCGCTCACCCCAGGCAGCTCTTCTGAGAGGCAAACTTGGGAACAGTTCACTCTCAGGAACTGGACAAGAAGAATGTCAACAATGAGCAGTGATTTAGAATATGTCACATGGAATTCAACTCTTCCACATAGTTTAGAAAATCCTACTGACAGCCACATGAAGTGGGACAACTGTACAGCAGGGCGCTGGTTAGTAAA